TATAGAGATACCATGATTATAAAAGAATTGCCACCTTCAGTAAATTCTAAATATCACTCAAATGCTTTTTTACCCTGTATCTTCACGAATACAAACTTAAGATTATGTTGTCTACCCGAATATCTCTTTCGAATACCACTAGATGTTTTTTCATATGCTTTCATTATAAATTGCCACCTTCAAAGAATTTCAAAAAACTATTCAAATGCCTTTTTTTATTCTTGATCATACTATATCTTCGTCATAGCAAATTTTAAGATTATATTGTCTGAGTGAATAGTATTTTGGCAAATTTCAATTATCATTTTTTATTTTATACCTTTGCATAAACTTCACGATTGCATTGTCTATCTGAATAGCCACTTTCAGCAGATTTAAAATACCAAAGCTATATTGTCCATTGGAATTGTCATATTTGACCTGGACACCTAAACATAAATTAAAATTAATCATATTATCATTATATAAGACAAACATACATATTTTCAAATAAAGTATAGAGTTTGTGTATATGACAATCAAATTTACATACAAATTATGAGTAATTCTCAATTTTGTTTTAATCAAAAAGTCGACCTTTCTTTTTCATTTCTTCATTAAATTCTGAGCTGCTTTGCAAATGATTAAACAATAGATCCAGGAGAATGAACTTTTTTTTCCTTTCATTTTTACTGGTTCATTTTGAAATGCTTAGACAAGAATCTTAAGATCAGACAATGTAAATACCTTCTCAAATGCACTTTTAGCTTCATTATCTCGAGCCCAAATTTTAAGCTGACAAAGTGCCAAGTCAAGATCTTCTGGTAACATCTCTTTCTTAAATATAATGGACTTTATTTTCAGCTTATTCTCTTTTGTTGTATCATTTTTTAAATCTGAATTCATTGCCTTGACATTCACTTGTAAGCTAGATGAACCTTTTTCTAGAATATATTCTTTAAATTGTCGCCAAGATCATTGTCTACTTCTCATATAAATCTTGATCAAGTGCGCCAATAGATAGTCCTTAGTCTCTTTTGATAATTGAATATGGTCATATATAGAATCTGAAAGTAATTCTTGATTTTTAGATTGAATCTTATACACTATTTGCAAAAGGTTATTAAACTGCTTTTTTAAAGGTTAATTCTTAAGAGATTATTGTTGATGTAAATTAAAATATTTGGACCATATTCAATATGTTTTTCAAATAACTAAAGGATGAGCGACTCTAAATAATACATAAATTGAATAAAATCAGCCCCTGGAATAATTGTCGTCATCTTTGAACGAGTGTCACATACATATTCTATATCTTCAAAGCTAAGAACATTCAGGCATGATCTAATTTTTGTAAACTCTTTATGTGCTAATGTAAGTTAATCATTTTTAGTCAATTTATATATAGTCCATCCAATAATATATTGAAACTTTGATGCCTCAGCCAGTTCTAAGCTAATGATTTTTTTAGGTACAGTCTACGATTCTGTATAATTCAAAATAAGCTGACTATGATATTGTTTACTGTGTGCTTGTTTAAACGTAATTCTTATAGTTTTTTCAAGTAACATATAAGCTACCAATCATTGAGTTTCTATACTGATATTATTTGAAGCCAACAACTGAAAGTTATTAAACCAGTCACCCACATATTTGTAATTATTTAATCTATTTTTCAGATTTGTTGACCATGTTGTGAGCTATTGTATGCTTTTTTTTAATAGAACAGAATTTAATGCTATTTGACGAATTTTTTCTAACAAAGTTACTAAAAAATCTTCAACACCTTCTTCATATAATAAAAATTCAATCAGTCACACTCTTTCAAGCTGCAAGCAATTAATAGTTGTATTTTCTATTTTAATATTTTCATTACTTGAGGATAGCAGCAGCTGTATTCATTCCATTACCAAATCATCATTAAGAAGCTCTTGGAATATTTGGCGACTAAAAGTGGAAAGTATCTCAACTCTATCTTTATAGCAATGATATAGGTTTAAATTTTGCTCATTAGATCGTAAAATTGTTCAATAATCTCTATAAAAAATAAAAAATAAAAAAAAATAAAAAAAATAAAAAAAAAAATTAAAAAAATTAATTTAAGTTTATTGGTAAGTTTGCATAAATAAAAATTACCTTTGTTTTAAATCAGTGAGCATGCCTAAACCGTCAGCTAAACCATAATTCAAGCTTTTTATTTCTGATATCATTTGCATTGTAATTGTTAATTTGTTTATCACATACCCGTAGGATTGAACAGTTTGCGTGGAAGAATCACCACCTATTTCTCTGATTGTTTCAAATAAACCCTCAAGCATATTCTAAGAAACTCTCCTCGGTTGAATCATAACATCTGGCCAATTGATGAGTATATATTCTACAATCCCAAGAAATCCATTGATTGATAAAATCAAATCAAATTGATACTGGGCAGAAAACCACTGACTTGAGTTTTTTTATGTTTATCACCTTGAATGAACCATTATTTTATTTCTTTCAAAGTGTTCAAACATGGATCTTCTAGAGAAGAAATACATATCTGACTATGTGTAATGTCTCGA